TCCTCCTTTTAAGCTCCTTTTTGCAGGTGTTTTGTCACAGTGATGGGAGGCTGACTGCCGCATCAGACCTGCAAGCCAGACTACAGCTCTAGCCACCAGCCTGCCTGCAACCTCGCATGACACACTGCAGAAGCACTCATCTAAACCGCTCGCTATGGCCTTCTAAGTCTCAGACACTGCCCACGAACCTGCGAAGTTTTGAGGAGACACTTTGTGATGCAGCAGTGGCTGACTAGTACAGAACTAGTATCTGAGGGTGGGTTGCTGCCATAATGAAAACCCAAAATGGGGTGGCGTTGGACTGGGGCACCCTAAAATTTTAAGTTGTATTTTTTTAGATCCAAATATGCGTTGTCTCTTAAGACTTCTTTGACCCATGTTCTATTTAGAACTGTGTTGCTCAGCCACCCCTTCTCCCATTTTTTTTTGTTACTGATTTCTAGTTTAGTTCAGTTTGGTCTGATGGCGTACTTTATATGACTTCTATTCTTTTAGATTTGTCGGAGAGATGTTTTATGGTTCAGAATTTGGTTTATATGTTGGTGAATGCTTCAAGTAAGCTTGGGAAGATTGTGCATTTCATTTCTTCTACTTGTCCTTCTCTTGTTCCTCTTCTGTTTCTTCTTCCATATCCCCTGCTCTTTCTCCTTTAAAAATAGCTCTCTTCTGAGGATCGTGGTTTGAAGACAGCCTAGGCAGAAAAGTCTGTGAAACTATTATCTCCGATTAGCCATCCCCAAACCAGAAGTGGCGCTGTGGCTCAAGTGGCAGAGTGCTAGCCTTGAGCACAAAAGCTCAGGGACAATGCCCAACTCCTGAGTTCAAGCCCCTTGACCATACCCCCCCCTAAAAATTCTTTTGAACTTATCTTTCCTGTTTGACTGAAACTTTTGTATCCTTTGGCCATCACTTCCCAATACCCCCCATTCCCTGCTCTCCTATCCTCTAGTACCCAAAACTTCCCCTGTCATGGCGGCGAGTTCTGTTTGCAGGTTACACATGAGTGCTATCGTGTGGCGCTTTGTCTCTTTGTGCCTAGCTTATTTCACGTTGGGTTCATCTATGTTGTTGCAAATGACAGGATTTCTTTCCTTTTTTTCAGGACGCCTCACATTCCATTTTGTATCCACACTCCATTTTCTGTGTCCATCACTGATAGACACAACATTGATGCCATATCTTGTGCGCTTGTGACCAGTGCTGTGGTAAACTCGGGGGGCGTAGTATCTCTTCAGCATACTGAACTGCTCCTCCAGGTACACACCCCAAGTTGGGATGGCTGGATCTCTCCTGCTGCTACTGATTTATGTCTTTTCTAAGTATCAGGGAAGGTTCAGCTGATAGATGATGCTTTTGAGTCCAATGATGTTCTTGTTGAGTTTCTGCCCGCTTGGTCCATCAGTCAATGACAGAGAAGTACTGAAGTGCTGATGGGTCCATTTCTCCTGCAATCGACTCCCTGCTCTGTGGCGCTTGGCCTCCATAGTAGGGATTGCTTTGATGTCATTGAGAATTTACTTCTTTATCACTGTGTAATTCCTCTGTGCCCCTGCTTAACCATTGGTCGTAAAGTCTGATTCAAAATGAACACAAGGATGAAATGAATAGAAGGCATCCAGCTCTCTCTGGTTTGTTTTTGCTGTGTTTCTGTATTATAAGGTCTTGCACATGCTGGCCACTCATTGTCCCCGCCACTGAGTGACACCCCAGCCCACCAGCTTTCTTCTAGCTAGTGTTAACATTGTACAACTTCCTCTATTAATTTTTTTTATTAAAGTGGGTTTCGTGCACAAGTAATAATGTAGTTTTTTTAAACTATGATGACAGTGTCTGTATCTTAATTGCTATATTTAGATGATTCCCATCACTGAATGATTAGCTGGGGCTCTTGGCTGAGTCATGGAATATCACCTTCGTGGGGGGTTGGGAAAGGGGTCCTTTGCCCCCCACCACAGGGTCCTGATTTGAGCAGCTGTGACTACGCTACTCTGTGTTCCCCCACATGAGGCTGGCCTTGGGACGTCACTGACCTTTCCCTTCTGCTCATAGGTCGAGGTAATAAACGACACATTGGTGATTTGCAAAAACACAGACATTGTAACTTTAATAAGTTATCCAAGTAAGGAGTGGAGTGTTGCTATACACAACAAATACGTATTGTCGGCTATTGCCAGGAAGATAAAACTCTGTGATTTAAGTTCAGCACCTTGGTGTTTCTGTGTGGCGGCTACCTGTCGAATGGGAGTAAATAGAACCATAATGTCTCATCTGACCGAGACATTGCTACCAAGCACCATTTATATACTCGAAATAGACAAAAATACACATGATAAGGCATATACATGAAATTCCATGGGTTTTCCCAAGAGGAGTAATCCAGAGAGCTAGATTCCCCCCAAATCTAGTGTGAGTCTCCCTAAGGGTGAGCAGTGACTCGGCTACCTCAGGAAGTTTTCTGGGTGACACGGGACAGCCTGTATGCCATTGTGGTATTGGGAACTCTCCAGAAGACACCCACCTGTCTCTGGGGGATGCCGAAGCTGGCTCTGAAAGCTCAGGAAGGTTCTGGGCCAGGGCTTCCCTGGGAAGCCTGCTGTTTCTGTCCAGGTGGCGCTACTCCCTTGGGGCAGAGTGTCTTGGGGACTCTAACCTCAGAAAACTGTGGCTCTGTGGCCCAAGACCCTGAGGACTGCTCGTGGGAACACGGCCAGGCTGGACGTCAGCTCCCAAGGGCGACTTTCTCCCTCACACACAGGACAGGTGCCCGGACAATGTCCCCAAACAAGTGCTTTGCTCAGCCTCACATCCCTCAGTTGGGTAAACTGAGTCAGACTTCCTGGCTAGCATTAGTCTCCTACTTCCTCCCCATTCTCCCTCAGACCCAAGCAGGTAATGCTGCTCATTAGGCCCAGAACAAGAGCACCGGGTTCTATAAAGGAGTGTGGCCTGTGGGATCCACTTCCACTTCCTGAGGCAGGGCCACGGGCGAGTTCTCACGCACACCCTGGGAGACACAGCTCACCTTGTCTGCAGTTTGCTTCTTGGGGCACAGAACATGTACGGATGGGGGCGGGAGGTGACGGCAGGAGGGAGGGAGGAAGGGAGGAAGGGAGGCCAGCTACTTCCCCTGTGGCAAGTGAGGCCAGATGCTGTTTTCTAGTGAGGCCAGATGCTGTTTTCTAGCTGGTCCCTACATTCCAACTTTGTTCCTTACCCCCCCCATGACATCATGACATGCACACACACACACACACACACACACACACACACACAGATACTGACAAGCATACTTAGCACCCTGACACTCAAAAGAAAGTAGCCATTACCGGACCATGACCATCCTGAGTCAATGTCTAACAAGGAGGAGTTCTCTAAGATATATAATTGGTGAGAATACAAAGCTTCTAGAAGGTTCCTACACATGAAAACTCCAGAATTATCCACCCACTAGGCCCAGCTAAGAAGCTCATGTGCCCCTGGGTCTCATTTTGGAATGCTAGAACCACATGTTCACAAAGCACCAAGGTCATGAAAGGTCAAGGTGAGCACCCTCCCCCTCCCCCATTTCCTTCTCCTCCCCCCCCCAACATCTGGCTCAAAGAAACATCTTTCTGCCAAAGATAGAAGTTTTTGAAAGGGCAAAGCTTCTCTCCTTTTCCTCCTCTATTCCCCCTCCCCCACTAGAGGCCTGTACCCCAGTCCTGGGGTCTCAAACTTCCGAGGGATGAGGTGGGGGGGCAGGCCAGAACCAGATAGGGGGAGCCTGTTCTCCAAAGCTAAGCTGTCCCAGGCCTCTCCCACCCTGGGGGCTGCATTCTGACCCCGGAACGATGGATTCTTAGGCCATGGACCACTTACAGCTCAGCAGGTGCCCCCCACATCCTCCGATACCCTTGGGAAAGGCTGGCTGGAGGAGAAGCTTGGGGCTCTGTATCCGCAGAGTTCATGGTCCAGCAAGCAAGGCCGGAGGGTGGAGGGGAAGGGACTTACTGTCTTCCTTGCTGTCTTCGTCTCATGTTTCCTGTTTGGATTTGTCCTCCTCTCTAGTTCCAGGAATCTCATCACTTTCCCCGGGGGGGAGGGGGGGGGAGAATTAGCAGCACAGCTGAAGCTCAGCTGAGATTTGAACACAGTACAATGTGAGCACCAAATGAGATGACTTTTGTGAACTTCTTAATGATCAAGGCAACCCCCGGTGATGAATTAATGATTGAGACTGGATTCAGACCCTAAGAGTCTTCCAAATTTCCTTTAAACTATTTAGAGTTGACTTAAAGACAGAGTTTTCATAGGAAAAACAAAAACAGAAACAAAACTATGCCTTTTTTTTTTTTTTTGAAAAAGCCAAGCCAGGGCTCCTGGAGGAAGACAGATTTCACCCTAGCAGCCATGGCCACAGCTCACAAGCCGCTCTAACATGGTGTATGTAAGTTCCCAGTGTGTCCCCACTGTCCCAAACTGGTCACTGCATTCATCCTCAGCACCGGCCTGGTCCTTAGGACCCTAGAGAGCTCATCTTGACCACTGCTTAGTTATGAAGGAAATCTCAGGGTGTCTTAACAGTGCCCGTGGGTGGGTCCTGATTTGGGGCCTAATGAGAAATGTCTTAGCCATATCTCCTAGGGACAGGGAACTTGCCATCCACTGTTCAGCAGTTTGGGGAAGTCCAATTGCTCCTGTTTTCCCTTTTGCTTCCTGCTCTTCTCCAGTCCTGTCTACTCTGCACCCAACACTATTACACGATTCAGGTGATTCCTCATCCAGCAAAAGAATATACAGTCTAACCTGACTGCCTTATGCACACGCATGTGCACACACGCCAACACACATACACCAACACACACATGCACACACACATACACAGTGTCATTCCCTTCTTCCCCTCCCCCCCCACGAAACCTTTTAGAATCAGGAACTTTGGCTTCATGTCCAACGGCTTAAGATTTGCTCTCCATCCCATGGAATATCTCTACAAGCAAGAAACATGAACGCCACGATGCTCTTTGCATTTTATTAGGCCTTCCGGCGCGCCTCTTTCTTCCGCATTGCATCAATGAGCTCCTGGATCCTTTGGTTCCTGGTCTTTTCATACAGGCTCGGTCGTCGGGGGATTAAGTTGGGCGGTTGGGCTTCGTCATCCAGGCCATGGACCTTGTAGGGGACATCTAGAGCATTGGTTTCTGGGTGGTCCTCGGTGCTGGAGGCATTGACGCTGGAGACATTGAGAGGGATCTCCGGGCTGGCGCCCGGCGAAGGCTGTGTCTGCGTGGCTAGGGTGGGTCCTGGGAGCGTGGGCATGAACACCTCGATGTCGTTGTGTTTCCCCGGCGGTGGCTCTGCCCGGTCGTCCAGGTCGGTGAGGTTGTTTTGCAGATTGCAGAATTTGCAGCAGAGTTTGTTGTAGCTTGGGATGGAGCAATAGCGAGACAAGACTTCCATCCTACAGAACATTGACTTGTCACCTTGGCAGTGGTCCTCTGAAAGAGAAAATTGGGACAAATAACCAAAGGACAGGGTAAGGGGGACTTGGTGCCCCCCGCAGGGTGCAGCGGCTGGAGGAGGCATGTGAGAAAGAGCCCAGAGGCAGCCTAGAGCCAGAGCGTTTGCACGGATAGTCTGTGTGCTCGCGGCGTCCACGTGCCTAGCAGGGTGGCATCCATCGAGCCCCGCGCCCCTCCTGCAAGCAAAGCCCCAGCTGCAGCTGGATTTTTCCAGGGGTCTCAAAGGTTGAGATGTTCGCTCTTTCAGAGTGATTTCAATGCTTACAAGAATGGAACTTGGCCGGCTCTTCACACTACAGACCCTCGTGGCGACCCCAATGCCACTTAACAAGTCCTGACTATAACAAAATGAAACCTAAAAGCGCCCATCCCAGAGCCTGGCTGTGAGCTCCCGTGTGCCCTGCCACACCCCCATCCTGACGCAGACTCCCCAGGTGCTCTGAACAGTGGCCAGTGCGTGTGTTTCTCTATCTACACTTGCCTCAACTTACCCACTGGGCAGCCCTTCCTCAAACAAACTGAATGCTTTGCTAAACGCTCACCCTCTGTCCAGCATTTTCCCATACAGGAAACTGGCTCTCATGGTCCAGCCAGCACGCAGAGTCCTGGCTCTCTCAGGTCTCTCCCTGCACAGCTGTCTTCTTCCTAGCCCACCCCCCTCTGCCCACAGCTCTGTCGATTCAAGGCCATCATTCCTCTCTGGCTGTCCCTCTCCCTTTTGACCCAAAATGTCACACCCCTTTCCCTCTCCCGTAGCATTCCACCCACAACCTGAAAAAGGACAGGATTTACCCAACCCATTCAATGTCAAAGAATACCTCAGACAGAAGAGGGAGATGAGCTCCACTGTGAATTCTTGGTTTCAGAGCTCACTGGGCCCCACCCTGCCAGTCACGTTTTCAGCTCTTTCCACAGTGATGGCTCCTGATACCCTCACGTAAGCTCCTGATGCACCTTCCCTTCCATGTACCTCATCCCCTAATTCAAGGATGGACAGTGGGATGGAGGAGGAGGGAGCAGGCATCATCGCCATGTAGCTCTCCTGCGCACCCAGGAGGAATAGACCCTCCGCTCCCACCAAGGACCATTGCTCCCAGCTGTACTTCCCGTGGGTCCAAAGACACCTGGCACATTCTTACCCATCTAGCCCAAGTTCATGGCATCAGATGGCACCAGCAGCCTCAGTGAGTGGCCTTTCAGACACCTCAGCCGGATTCGTGGTGTCCCTGCCCCACCTGCTCCCTCATCTCCAAGTCCTTCCCAGCCTGTCCACGCCTCTCTTCCACTCCTGTCTGGCCACGCTGCCTTGCCTCTGGGTTGCATCATGGTTTTAATAAAAAAAAAAAAAAAAAAGGCCCCTTTCATTGTTTGCCTCTGTATCATTTGTCCTCTCTTCAGCTCATCCAGTCATTCTGCTCCAGAATTTCCTTTTTCAGCCTCTGAAGCATCGCCCAAGCTCTCTTAGGAGGTAAAAGCTCCCTATTCCGCAGACTCCTGGTCTATCCTGCCCCAACTCCCTCCCAGCCTGCAAGTTCCCATATTATTGTCATCTAAAAGTGACCGGAGCTGCCTGACTGCCATCACCCTCAAAGTCCCAAGGATCAGCTGTGTGTACACACCCTCAGTCCCCAAGCCAAGCTCGGTGAATCAAAGAATGTAAGGATGTCTGCGCATACAAGTATAAAAGAGATAAACGGAAAGAAGCTACGAATGCCCGAGGCAGAAAATACAACCTAGAAATCAACTAAAGCTACAGGCAAGAACATTCACGGCACATACTGCCACAGACAGACAGACAGACATCTCCCCCTCCCTCACCCAAAACAATGAACCTGTACTTCTAAGTGGCCAAAACAAAGAGGAAACATGACTGGCTGCAGCCCTCACTGCACAAGCTGACCAGCCGTTCTGGGAAAGCCCAGGTGGTCCTAACTGATTGAGAAACGCTCACCAGTAGATTGGAGGGTGAAGGTCTTACACTCAGGGGCCTAGACGGTGGCTCTCAGGGATTTGACACTTGAGTGTGCTTTCCTCAGACACCCAAGACATTATGCAGGCAAATCAGCACGGTCCTGCTTGAGGTTTAGGGGAGGGGACACAGAGCCCCACCTGTACTCCCTTCTCTAAGTAGCCACTGAGACGGAAAGTTTTGTGAAAACCCCACTGACCTCAGCGCTCCTCGGGATACAGGTGGGGATATGGAAAAGGGCTGGCTATAAGATCTGCCATAGGAGCCAGGAAGCAATGGTGATAGAAGGATCTGTTCTCTCATCTGGTTTTATAAATAAAGTTTTATTGACACTCTGCCACACTCCATTTATTGTCATTGCTCTCCCAATACAAGGGCAGTATTGAGCAGTGTGATAGTGGCCTTCTCAGCCACAATACCTAGCTCTTGGTAGAAAAAGTTGGCTGATCCCTGGTTAAAGCTTGTCTGGATTAGAGCTTGATCCACAGAAGTGCTCAGTACTCACTGGGTAAGTAAAACAGTCAGCACTGATGACTGGGCTCATGGCTCCCTTTTACCTATTTCCATAGAGGAATTCCTTGTCTGACTCCCTCTGGACATTCTCCGAGCAGCTACATTGCCTTCCATTGTTAAAAATGAACATGTCGGGCTGGGAAGTTGGCTCAGTGGTAGAGCGCTTGCCTTGCATGCCTGAGGCCCTGGGTTCGATTCCTCAGCACCACATAAGCAAAAAGAAAAAAGCCGGAAGTGGCGCTGTGGCTCAAGTGGTAGAGTGCTAGCCTTGAGCTGAAGAACTGAGGGACAGCGCTCAGGCCCAGAGTTCAAGCCCCACGACTGGACCCCCCCCCAAAAAAAATGAAAATGTCAACTGGGTTGACATTATAGGCTCACACCTATAAGCCTACCTACTCAGGCAGTTGAGAGCTGAAAGTTGAAATCCATCCAGCCTAGGCAAACAAGTCTGTGAGACTCTGATCTCCAATTTGCTAGCCCAAAAAGCTGGACTGGGGGTGTGGCTCAAATGGTAGAGCACCAGCCACAAACAAAAAAGCCTAGTGAGCGCACGAGGCCCCAAGTTCAAGCCCCAGTACACACACACACAAACACATACACACTGAAATAAGTCAGTGAATAAAAAAATTGGCAAAAAAAAAAGAACAACACAAGTCAAGAGCTTGATATTACATCAGCTGGGAACAACTTGACTACAGTTGTTACTCCGTATTTACAATTACACATTGGTGAGCCCATGGATCAGAAATATTTGGCAAAAAGAGAAATGCATCTTACTGAACATGCACAGACTTTTTTTTTCTTGTCATTATTCCCCAAGCAATATAGAAGAACAGGTATGAACATCGCATTTGCATGCCATTAGGCATCCTAAGTGATCTTTAGATGATTTAGTCTATACAGCAGGAAGTGCTTAGGTTGTACGTAAATACTGGGCTCTTTTATATAAGGGTCTTGAGTCCCCAGAGAACCTGAACCAGTGCCCTGACAATACTGAGAGATGATTACAACTAGGATGGACCCTGGGGCCAGGACAGTGACCTGGTGGTGGTGCATGGACAGGTGACCAGGCACTTACATTTCCACTTCACTGTTCAGGTTTTGTTTTTTGGTTTTTTTAAATCAGTCCTAGGGCTTGAACTCAGGCCTGGGCTCTGTCTCTAAGCATTTTTGTGTTCAAGGCTAGCGTTCTACCACTTGAGACACAGTGCCACTTCCAACTTTTTCCGAGAAGTGTATTAGACATAAGAGTCTCACGGACTTTCCTGCCTGGGCTGGCTTGGAACCAAGATTCTCGGATCTCAGCCACCTGAGTATGTAGGATTACAGGTGTGAGCAACTGGCACCCAGGGGTGTTCTAAACTGTTCTTCCTGATTCTGAGACTCCACATGGAAGCAGAGAACCTAGACTTTGCTTCGCATTAAAGGTCAGAAACTCCAAATCATGCAGTGCACTGTTGCATGTTGGGAAATACTTTCCTTTTTTTAAGAGAGAGAATGAAAGAATGAACCCAAACCCTTGTGGTAGACAGGGGACGGGCTGTGAGGTCATTACAGTCAAGTCGGCACCCTAATCAGTGCTGCAGAACAACTCCCTGGCTCCCTGGCGAGGTGGCCATGAAGGTGAAGACAACGAGCCATTAGCTTGCCAAACCCAAGCACCCAGTTTGACTGAATTTTTATTGAGTTTATTTGTGGGATGCATGACAGGTCTTTTCATCATTAGTGAGAATAAAAGGTCATTTTTCACAGTCACTTTGGCACACGCTAATGTGGTCTCATTAAGGAAAAAATAAAAAGAACAACAGAAAAGCAACAACAACAATGGAACCGATAATCATACGTCATTAAATACATACAAAAACACTAATAAAATATCCCTGATAAACCAAAGTGCATATAGACAAGAGAGCACAATGCCTGGGAGCCACGCTGTGCCTTCCCGGCTACAGAGGTCACCCACATTGCCTCGAGAAAGCTGGAAGTTAACAGTCATGAAGATTAGTATGCAGTTACACACCGATTATTTACATAACAGTAATTAGTGCCAGAGGAGGAGGGGGAAGAGGAAGAGGAGGAGGAGAAGAAGGCTGGGATCCGTGGTCCAGCAGGTTTGTTCTTAATTGATGCAGTTGGCCTAGGGGTAGGACAGGAGTGCTACATTGGTCACAGCTAAGGGTCCAGGGTGTGTGACCCTCTGGGAGTAAGGCCGCGCTGTTGGATCCCCCCACGCCATGCAGGGCGGGGGGGTCTCCACAAAACAGTCAGCGCCATTTGGCCAGGTGGGTATCCTTATGGGGCTCCTTTTTTACGGAGATGGATGGAACCAGTGTCCCCAGGACTCCGGGAGCTCGGATTCCCTCAGCAGAAGGAGCAAGGCCACCATCTGCATCTAGAAACCTTGCCCTTGGCACAAAAAAGAAAAAAAAAAACAAAGTGGGTGACTTGGACACTCTTCCCTTAGACCTCTGGTGCCCGCCTCCTCCCTGGACCACGTCCTCCACTGAGGCTGGACTCAGCAGCCAGTCCTGTGACCTTTCAACGTTAAGGCATGTTCTACATAGTTTGTTTGTTTGTTTCCTAAGCACAAAAGCAATAAAAATTGAGGTAATTCTGTAGTTTGTTCACACTGGTAGGCGAGGCAAATCCATATCACACAATCAATCATCAATCAATCATCCATCCATCCATCCATCCATCGATCACCAATCTCTCGTACTCTCAACCCTCTGCACGGGGTCTTATGCACACGGTAAGAAAAGGCCATTGGAGCAAGTGGACAGAGAATAGGAATCGTGTCCCCCAGGAGGGGACACATCCCTCTGTCTCCTCCTTCACGACCAGACCCCTGAGAGGACAGGGGAGGTGTGTGTGTGTGTGGGGGGAACCAGGGCGGTGTGGGCCGGATGCAAAGGCCAGTCAGAAGCAGGCCACAGTGTCACAAGGCGGAAGGACACACTCAGCAGAGGGGCAGCTCCACAGGACAGCAGCGGCAGCAGGTGGCTCCCGATGCTGCTGGAAACTTGGAGGGGGGGGTGAGGGGTGGGGAAGGAGGGAGTCTGATCACCCGGCACAGCGACGCAAACAAAACAAAACAAAACAACACCTCAACGGCCTAGAGACCCCTCTGGCCTGGCCTCCACAACGGCGGGGGGCATTGTGAGCCAGGGGGTGTGTGCCGGCTTGCACCCATCACCAGGGCCAAATGGGCACGATCGATTGCTCTTTGACCTCCAGCCCCTCCGGCACCACTACGACAGATCTTTGCCCCTTTACGAGCTATCGCCAACCAGGTCCCAGCCTCCTCCCCCCACAGCAAGGAGAGGCCGGTGATGCTCCCCAAGGCCGGGCCTCCGCTCACAACCCGGTGTTACAAGCTCCAAGGAGCTGCCGGGCACAGAGCCCGGAGAAAAAGAGAGATGCGGGCGTGCACCCCGCGATCAGGGCAGCTTTCCGTACAGAGAGAGGAGCGGGGCCCAGGGCAGGCCCCACAAGGCGCGGGGCATGCACTGCAGGACAGAGGCAGAGTTATAAATGGGTCGGTTACTTGACGAGGTCTTCGCCATGGGTGCATCTGCGTCGGGCCGGGACAGCCACTGAACCACGTAGCTCTTCTTCGATGGATCGGAGGTGTTTCCTGGAAGGGAGAGAGGGGGGCATGGCTGCTGGGGCCTCCGGGTGGGCCCCCCACTCATCCCAGCCCAAGCAACATGGCTCTGACACTGGTATCCCCGGGGTGGGGGGAGCAATAGAAAGGACTCCAACTCATCTGGGGGGTCATCACTGGCCCCCCAGGGACAAACTGGTCCTGCCTTTTGGCCTTCCCCACTCTCTCCTTCCGTCTCTTCTCCCAATCTTCCTCCTCCTTCTCCCTCCACATCCCTCCGCTCCCCAGTCCAGGGTCCAAGGTGCAAGTACACCTGACCTCTCCCTGCATTCCTTCCTTAGTAGAAGCAAAAACAGTCTTGAGCCACTGGTTTTTTTTTTTTGGTCGGTTGTGGAACTTGAACTCGGGGCCTGGGCACTGTCCCTGAGCTTCTTTTGCTCAAGACTACCACTTTTTCTTTGCTGCCACTTGAGCTACAACACCACTTCTGGCCTTTCCTGTATATGTGGTACTGAGGAATCGAACCCCGGGCTTCATGCATGCTAGGCAAGCACTCTACCACTGAGCCACCTTCCCAGCCCTTGGGCCGATCTTGAGGGAGTCTTGAGTCTCTTGGGGACCAGGAGAGGGGAGCTGTGTGTGCTACTAGGCCAGGAATCTGCAGGAGGTATTCTGTCACTAGCCCCTGGCAGAAGTCCACAACCGCTACCAAGAGGGCTGGGAAGGCCGTGCTGGACTGAGGTAAGCCCATTTTCCCTGTCTGTACCAGGCTTGGCCCAACAGCAGCGTGGGGCAAAATGCCACCCTCTCTCCCTTCCATTCCCTCTAGGGAAAGCCCAGCCCCGGTGAGGAACTTCTTTAAGTCCAGCCAGTTTGAAGAAAGAGAAGAATTTGCTTAGATGCCCCCCCCCCCCCGCATACACACACAGCACAACAGAGAGCTTACGGGGACAGGGACCAAGCCTGCAGATCCGGGCTGTCTCAGGCCGCGCTTCCAGGCAGACACCAAAGCTGTCATCCCCCGTGCGACAGAGCACTGGCCGCTCCTGGGTGCCATTGCCGCAGGTTACCGAGCACTGTCAGGGGAGAGTCACCAGTCAAAGGGGGGCACCACCCCGAGCGGGGGTTCCAATCTGGAGGAGGCTCAGACGCCATCTCCATCAGCTGACTCTGACCACTCCGCAGCCTCTCTGTGACCACGAGACCACCGGAGTCCTTGTGGGGACTGACTGAGCCTCTGGGTGGCCTTGGAAGTCCCCAACACACCAAGGCTGCCAGAGAAGACTCTGGAAATCACAGCCCTCACTGTGCCCAAAGTGGAAGGCCTCCTCAGTCTCTCCCAAGCTCAGTGGGGGTGGTAGGGGGGAGGGATCAAGGGTAAGGTATCAAGAGGGACTTACCTGGGACCAGGGCCCAGCCCGCCAGCGACCAGGGCAGAGCTCTCGGTTGCAGGCTCGGCGGCTCTCGGGCCGGTTGTCATTGCAGTGTTTGGTGTGCACAGATCGGGTGGTGTTGTTGTGTAGGGGCTGGATGCAGCGCACGGCGCGCACCTGCATGCCGGTCCGCCCGCAGCTCTGACTGCAGGGCTCCCATTCGCCGGTCACCCACCTGCCAGGGCAGGGTGGTACACTGTCAGCCCCCTGCAGCCCCGGAGAAGCAGCCTGGCTGAGCTCTCGTGGCCCTGTCTGGAATGGCCCCGGTAGATGGTGAACCTTTTTCCTGTTCTTGCAAAGGGGCTGGCTGTGTGTGGGTTTGCATGGAGGGGAAACTGAGGCTCGGATAATTCCACGCATGTCCACAACTGGAGACGCTGCTGAGCCAGGTGGTTACGGTGCATCTGTCCATTATAATGTATCCTAACCTCTCAGGCTTCTAATCTGCCCCCAGCCTCACTTTATCTTTTTGTCTGAGACCAAGACTCGAACTTGGTATCTGACACTTGTGCGCCCTGGCTGGTGCGCTACCATCTGAGCTATGCTTCCAACCCGAAAGAGTTGATTGTATCTTTTCTTTTTAGAGTGAACTCCCTTAGTCCCCCTGTCTCATGTGACCCCCATCTGCCATCTTCCTAGATACCCCGGAAAGAAACCTGTACCCAGAAATGGAGTACCCCCCACCAAGCCCCAGAGCCTGAAGACCAAAAACCACCGCTTAGGAAACATGTGTCTCTACACTGGAAGCCAGTTCTCTGAGCCTCAGTTTCCCCCATTTGCTGTGACTTCCAAGGTTATACTAGTGTTCTGGCTTGGAGGCCGAGGTGCTCCTTTCAACCTGCAGCATCTTGGGGGGGTCCATGAGACATGGTGGGTGAGGAATGAGCCACCAAACCCCAAGGCCATGCCAGGGCCTGAGCTGCTCTAAGGTTCAGATACTACCCCTCCCTTCATGGAGGATCTTGTGGCCTCTGACCTCTCCCTCTGAGGGAGACACTGGGTTAGGGGTCCCCTTCCCCGCACCCCCCCCGGCACTCACACAGGCTGGGAGCACTCCTGGGGGTTGCAGGTTCGACGGATGGCCTTGGGCTTCGGGAGAGCGCCGCAGAAGGCTCGGTGCACCATCTTGTGGTCCAGCTTCCGGCGGCAGCCATACTTGGTGAATTGAGACCCTGGACACAGGGTACTCGAGGGGGGCTCAGTGGTATGGGGAAGACCTCCCTCTTCCCAAAGGGGCTTGGAGGGCGCTGACTCTCTGCCTGGAACCCTTCATCCAGAAGACTGTCCACCCAGCTCAGGCCTCCTGTAGGAGTCCAAGCTCCTGCCCTTGCTGAGCCCCAGCCCTTGGTAGTTCTCTTCTTGTCATCTAGCCCAGGAACCCCACAATGGGAAGTCCCCCCCACCCCTCACCTCCACCGCAGGGCTTGGAGCAAGGAGACCACTTCTTCAAGGCCCACTCGTGGCGCACAGAGTCATCTTCGAGGACATTGTTGTCATCGACATTGAGCGAATCCTCGTGGATCATGTACTTGTAGGTCAGCGAGATCCGGCCATCTCCTTCTGGGATAACCTAAGCCCATACACGTACAGCTGTGCATGGGTCTGCCTCGCTGTCCACCCTCCCTCGCAGACAATGTAGAACTTGAAACCCTCCTTGCTCAGTCAGATCCCTGAGTACTGGACCATGACCCCAAGGGGAAATGCAGACGGTCCCTGACTTCCGGTGTGGCCTTACCATTTCCCAACTTACTGACGGGAGATGTGATGTGCATTTGATAGAAACAGTACTTGGAGTCTTTTATGTATTTGGGATTTTGAATTTGAACCTTTTCCTGGACTAGCGCGATCCTCTCTCTGGATGCAAGGTGGCAGTTCTATCAACCAAGAGATCACCATACAACTATCTCATGTCCTGCAGTGTGTTTTGCTAGGATGGTCGGTGGCTTTGATCCTTTTTTTAAATTTTGGATTGGTCATGGGGCTTGAACTCTGGGCCTGGGCGCTGTCCCTCAGCTCTTCAGCTCAAGGCGAGCGCTCTACCACTTGAGCCACAGCGCCACTTCCAGTTTCCTGGTGGTTTATTGGAGATAAGAGTCTCATGGACTTTCCTGCCTGGGCTGGCCTTGAACAGTGAGCCTCAGATCTCAGCTTCCTTAGTAGCTAGAATTACATGCATGAGCCGCCAGTGCCCGGCTATTTTGGTCCTTTTGGTTGGAGGTACTGGGTTTGAACTCAGAGTGTCACATTTGCTAAGCCAGAATTCTTAGTAGTTGAGCCACAGACCCAAGTCTCTTTTTTGGACTTTTAGTTATTTTTTTCCCTATTTCTATCCAGACCAGCCCTGGACTGTGATCCCCCTACCTACACTTGTAGCATAGCTGACATGACCAGGGTTTTCCACCATGCCTGGCTCTCAACACATTTCTTTGGGACTCGATGGGTTTATAGGGGAGGGGCTACTGCAAATCAGCAGTACCTATACAGGAACTGGTCAGAACATTTTGACAACAAATGAACACAAAAGACAGGATATATGGTTTTTATTGTTGGTGTTGTGTGTGTGCGTGTGAGGGGGCTACTGGGGCTTGAACTCAGGGACCAAGGTGATGGAAATCCCTCTTTGGGCAGGTGCAGGGCCCAAGGCCCCAGTGCCCGTTCCTGGTTCTAACGCTGCGTTTGGGGCCAGAGCAGGTCTAAGAGTCTGCTTAGTGTGTGGCCTGAAGCATGCAGAGAGGCTCAGGGCTTCCAGCCCTCTCCAGACCACTCACTGGTCCCCATGTCCGGGCGGCAAGGAGGGGAGCCGGCCCACCCCAACTCACCAGGACAGTGATGGTGCCGTGCAGGGGACCCATGGTCTGCAGCGTCTCCCTGTCGTCCTCATTCCTGTATTCCCACTCCACGCCCAAGGCAATGAATGATCTAGAATTGGGGTCCACGTGGTTCTCTTCATTCAAGATGAACTTGCCTGTCTCCAGGCTCTTGACGGCTGAGAATGGCAAAGGAGCCCCCCCGCCCGGCCACAGTCACTCACGTGCAAGACCCAGACCTGCTTGGGGAGACACTGCAGGGCACTGGGCTTTGGATGGCCCGGGGCGTGGTGGGGAGCAGAGCCCCTTGCCTCTGATAGTCCACATCACATTGGGAGGGTCACATCTTGCTCTGGGGCTTGAGTCTAAATAATTACCCTCCACGTGGCTCTTTCTGGATCGGCCCTTCTGAGTCCTGGAGGCTCCAGGGTTCCCCTCAGAGGTGATTTTGCAGTTGCCAAGGACACCTCCCTGCCACTAACCAGGGCCTCAGTGGCACTTGGAAGTTGATGTGAATGTGTCCTCAAAGCTTTGTCTCTAGGACGGGGAGGTGCCATTCAGAGGTGGTGGAGCCTGGGAGGGGTGGGGCCTAATGGGAGGCCTTTAGGTCATTGGGAATGGCCCTGGAAGGGAACTGAGGGACCCTGACCACCCTCCCTCTGCTCCTACATGCCCTCCCATCAATGTACCACCATGTATTGCCCTCATCAGGGCTGGAGCAATTAAGGCACCATGCCTTTGAACCTCCAAAAATGGTGTGCTAAGGAAACCTTTTCTCTTTATGAGTCAACTGCCTCAGGTGTTTCATTGTGGCAAAGTGAAGCTGACAAATGCAGATGCTTCCAGAGTAGGCTAGCAGGGAGGCATCTCTACCGGGTGCAGGGCATGTGCTAGACCCAGGGCACAGGGATGGGTGGGAGTTGGGGATGAGTTGATATCTAGCTGGGAAGGCACAGTTCTGCACCCATCTGTAACTATGGCCTGGACATAGCCCCACCAGCTCCTTTCACTCCCCAAGGGGGCCACTGGGTCTCCTTACACCATCCAAGAGAACCTGGCTGGCCAGGAAGCACCACACTGCCTGCAGTATGGAAAGCAGCCATAGGGGCTGTGGGTGACTGGGTTGAGGGGAGGAGAAGATAACAGATAGGAAACAGGTTAAAAAATCATTTCCTGTACAAGTCCTTGCAATCCATGTTGTAAAGAAAGCCTTAGTTTGGAGCCAGCAGGTCTGTGTACACGCATGCGTGTATGCATGTGTGTGTGTGTGTGTGTGTGTGTGTGTACTCATGCTCCAGTCCTACCTAGGGTCTGGCCTAGGTGCTGTCCCGGAGCTTCTTTTACTCAAGGCTAGCACTATACCACTTGATTCACAGCTCTACTTCTAGCTTTTTGGTGGTATATTGGAAATAAGAATCTTACAGATTCCTGCCAGGGCTGGCTTTGAACCACAGACCTCAGATCTCAGCCTCCTAAGAAGCTCAGATTCCAGGCATGAGACACTGGTGCCCAGTGTCAAGTCAGCAGGTTTTAAACTGCTCAGGCACTTGCTGCCTTTTGCCAAAGAAGTTTGGACCCCGGCCTCAGAGACTCCGTGGGAAATAGTTTGGGACAGTACTGCTACTTAGCAAGTACCGTTTCTGCACTTACCAAGTGTCCTTTCAGAACGGAAGGGCAATGAATACTAAGAGAGTGGGGGCTGGTCACCATCCTGGGGTGCTCACTGTGGCTATTTGGAAGTTTCCCACCCCTATCCCACTTCCCAGGGCTGGAGACAAAGGGAAAGCCTGGCTGGGGACAAGGACTTGTCCACTGGCCCCCAGAATCACCACTGGAGTCTCCTGACAACTACCCAGGAGACAGAGTCTGGAAAACTCCTTTGGGGGTTGGTAATAGGTGAGGGGAGCCCTTAAGTCATGTTCTGGGTAGCCAGGGAATGCCCAGTTCACAGGCCGAGGCTGCCACGTGGGCAGCGTCACCAGAGTTGTGAGAGCGTGCAGATTTCCAAGAGCTGTCAGACTTCCCTACGGCAGGTGGAATCTCTTGAATTTCACATGAAAGGGCTGGAGCACATGCTTACAATGTGTGAGGCCCTGGGTTCCATCCCCAGAGTAAATGAATAAATAAAGTGAAAATATGTGAATGTATGGAATGATCCCATCCCACAGTGGGCTCTGGCGCCCTCTAGTGGGTATGTGCGGCGTACCACCCTGGAACCTGATCCTGTCATCCTTTCCCAAGGGTTGATGGGGGCCTACCAGCATTCTGCAGACCAGAGAGGCATGGCCTGGCTTGAACACAGGCCCCTCTACATTGCTGCCAGGGGGAGTCCTCTGAGCCCAAACTCTGGCCTTCCCACAGGGAGATGAGCCCCAGAAAGACCCTCCAGGTGGGTGGTAGATAGGGGCTGCAGCTATGTCGGTCAGTTAGAGTATCCCCGCTCTGGTCTTGGCCACACAACCCAGGCCTCAGACCCCTGGCACTCTTCCCATCCAAGAAGAGCCAAGACCTGGAAATATGGAGTTGTCTGAGCTCGGACACTCACACAGATGGTGGCTGGCACTGTCTGTCTCCTGGATGAGCAGGTGTCTGGCTCCGGAGGGGATCTCAAACATCTTGATGTAATCTTTGGGAGTTGAAAGGAAGAATAGCAAATGAGAAAGGAAAAGGCAGCTCAAAGTCAGACAATCTGAGGGACCTCGTGGGCTCCATGGCTGGCTTTCCCAAGACTACTGTATTTCCCAGGCTTTGGTTTCCCACCCATCAGAAAGATACTGGGTCTGGGACCAGCCACAGCCGAGGGCCAGAAGGTGCGTCCTGCCCATCATCAGATTTTCCCATTGCCTCCCCCACTGAAAGCTCAGACAGAAATCCAGAGCAGGGCGCTAACGTGCCTGCCTGTGTAGGTAGAAGGCCCTCTGCAGACTTCATGGCCTGGTTGGACCACATTGCCTTTGACAAGGCCAGTACTGAGCACTTAATCTCAAACAGGCATTCCCTGGCGCTGGCCCCAGCCAAGTATTGCATGTTTTCCCTTGGCTCTCTCCAATTAGCAAACCAAAGTGGCCTCTTCCGGTTCAGATATAGACTGCCGAATCTACCAAAATGCAGACAGGACCACACAAGGTGTAGGCAGAAGCACAGTCTAGAAAGAAACTAGTGTGGTTTGGATATGACTTGAATGTACCCCCTAAAGATTCATGTGTGGAAGCCTGGTCCCCAGTGTGTGGTGATGGGGGGGAGTGGTTAAGAGGTAGGACCTTTCCTGGCTCTAGTTTTCTGTTTCACCCTGTGATCTCTCTTTTCCTTGCCTACACTTCTGCCATAATGGCACCATTTGCCACGATGTGATGAAAGGAGAGAGGCTGTTGTCAGAGTAAGGGTCATGCTTATAGACATCTTGGCTTCCTGAACTATGAGCTAAACAAACTTTTCTTTATAAGTTTCATAATCGCAGGTATTTTGTTACAGTAACAAAAAAAATGGACTAAGTTCCCCAGCCTCATCACCTGTGGAGACAGAATAAAAGAGGCCAGCGGGCCACTGGCTGCACTGACCAGGGAAGCCAGTGAAGAAAGTCCTGCTGACAGCTAGCTGGAGACAGAGAAATGGAGGGAGCAAGAGGCAGGCAGGCTGGGCCTCCCTGGAGGTTAGGGAAGGGGTCCTCTGCTAACCTCTGATCTCTAATAAAGATTTCTTTCTTTCCCTTCTTTTTTCTTTTGTTGCCAGTCCTGGGGTGTGAACTCAGGGCCTGGGCACTGTCCCTGAGCTTCTTTTGCTCAAGGCTAGCACTCTACCACTTGAGCCAACAGAGCCATCTGGCCTTTTCTGTGTATGTGGTACTGAGGAATCGAACCCAGGGCTAGGTAAGCACTCTACCACTAAGCCACATTCCCAGCCCTGATAAGGATTTCCGAGTCTCAACTTGTGGATTTTTTGGTCCTGATCCTGTGACCTGGGCCTTCATTCTCCCTCTTCTGTTCTGATTATGGCTGCTTTAACTTCAGGTTCTCCTTCTCCCCCTCTGACCCTCCCAGATCTCAGCCCTAAACAGTCCAGAACTCAGACAGAGCCCCAGGGGAGGTTCGGGCCCAGCCCTGCAGGGCTCAGCCTGTGCATCAGGTGCTGAGGCTGCTCCACTCGGGGCCCGGGTGGAAGGTGGGACTCACTCACCGTGTTTCTTGGGCGAGCGCGTGAATGTGCCCTTGACCACTTTGCAGTGGGTGTTGTCCCCACCACACACGCCACACTTGTCCTCCTGCTTGCTGGAGCCGATCACCCCGTCACAGCCCACCTTCTGCAGGAGAAGGGAGGCAGGGAGCGCTGAGAATGTCTCCATGTTTGGGGGCTGGTGACCCCAGAACCCCTGGCACCTGTTTTCCCCTCCTGCAGCTCCTGATCTGCATCTCCCTTCCTGTGGTTCCAATGCAGTGAGGAGGAAGGAACCCAGAGCAAGGCAGGCCTTGAGAAGCAACATCTGGAAAGCCCCGCTACAGCGCCCACACAGGGCCACTGGCCCAGCTGGTCTCCAAGGAGCACATCTGTCCAAGCCTGGCCTGGCCCTGCTGTGCTCGCTGCCCGTCTCCAGAAGCACCAGCACAGCACATCCTCACCCCTGGCTCTGACCCAGAAATACAATGTCCCTTGAAGTCTGTCTTCAGGTATTGGGCAGGCTAGTGGCAGGAGCTGGCTGAGACTCTGACTTCACCTTTATTCTCTTAACTGATCCTCTCAAGTCTGCCACTCCGGGAGCCAAAATGATTCTACTAAACGATGGAGCCCCGGGCCAGCTGGCAGAGACGAGAACACTCAGGTTTTTCTCTGACACTGGTAGCACTCCATTCCCAGGGCCACAGCAGCTCAGTGGGGCCTAGCGTGTACCATGCTGCCCTGCCCAAGGCCACTTCTGAACAGATCTCAGCGGAGGAGATGAGCTTGGCCCTCAATGATATGCTCCCCATGGCTGGTCCAGATTGCATAATGGCATGCATCATGGATTTTCCTTCTTGCTCTGGCTGCCTGGAAGCTCTGAGCCAATGCTCCCTCCAAGATGCTTCTACCACGCCTGCAGAGACTCACTTCCTTTCCTTTTGCTCTTGGAGTCTTCCTTCTTCACACCCTATCTTTCCCTCCCTTTCTCCATTCTTCTTTCCTCCCTCCTTCATTTCCTTCCTTCCTTTTTTTCCTTTTTATATCCAATAACACCAACCAGAAACTGAGCTCATTCAGAAAATGTGGAGCCACAGTTGTGGCTCAAAACAGTAGCTCTGAGAGTCTGTTCCCAGTGCCAGAGAAGTGGAGCAAAAGGGAAATGGAGGAAACTGCTGATCTGTTAGATCTTGATACTAATAAAGTTGTTGTTGCCATCTATCTTTCATACTGAGACATACTTTCCCCCCCCCCTTTTTATTTCTTTTTTTCAGTAGTGGGGAGATGTATGGATACTTTTTCTCTCAATGGCTCTGGCCTTCCCACAATGTCACTTAACATGAATGGAACTCTTGCCAGTACAAAGGCGATGCCACCTGGGGGTGACTAAGTCACCCACCTGTGGTCCTACTACAGGAGACGAGCACTTTTATACTCTCAGAGCTGTCACGCCCCCCCTCCAGGCCCCACCTCCATATTTCTAAATTGACTAGTTAGTAGAAGCCAAGGATATAGGGATGGTCCCCAATGTACGATGGCTTGACTTAGCTTTGTGTTGGGCCACGCTGACCTAGCCATAGCTCATGGAGGGCTTTGTGGAGTATAAGGGTTGGGTGGTTTGCACAGGGGTTCCCTGGGGAACTCCCAAACCCCCCAGGCAATATGAGACAGAGCCCCCAGGTTTCCTGAGAAATCATCCGGGGATGTAGTTCAACCTCGACCTCTGCTCCTCCCTCCCCACTCCCTCCTGCCAGGGGAAGGGGAAATCTGAAAGCCTACCCTGGTCTATAGAGTTTCTCTGGACCCTGTGTAAACTTTGTCTTCGTTTTCCCAAGGAGTGGAAGCCGAGACCCAGAAGACCGAGGCCCAGGTCCCAGGCTGGCCTGGTGACACTCACCCTGCAGTCGCCACGCACACAGACGCTGAAGGCATCCTTGTAGGAGCAGCGTGTGCCATCATGTACCATGCGCTTCATGGACACCACCTCTCCAGTCTCCTTGGACTCGCAGTAGAGGTGACACCTCTCTTTGGCTAGAAGGGAAGCAGTAGAGTGTCAAGTCAGCACCAAGCTTTCTTGTATCCGCAGAAGAAGAAACTCCCACGGGTCTTCAAATTCACCTGCCCACCCTTGAGGGAAAGGGGGCTGCAACCACTGTCCCAGATCAGTGTCTTTTGAGCCTTTGAGTTGTTGCCTCTAGACAAAACTTTCCCCACTGGACTCACAGGCATAGGCCTCCTCTGAGATTTTATCACCCATCTATGAAGTCCTGAATACAAGGAGCCCCCCCCCCCACTGGATTTAATACCAGATTCTGCAACCATCCCTGCTCAGCCTTTATCCCAGGCAACGAAAAATGCCCGCCTGGGTTGGTAGACAGCAGCCTTTTCTGCTATTATGGCCAAGCTTTGCATTAGTATGAGTAGGACACACAGCAGGGGGCTATATCATCACAAATCATGTGGAGCCACATGGCACCAGCCTGCTTTCCCTGCCTACTTCCCTGGGAAGAGCAGACAGAGAGAGCCCTAAATAGAATATCTATTGTTGACCTTCTGTACCCACTCCTAAGTCTGCAAACTCGACTTCCCTAGATGGAAAATATTTGAAAACAGTTGCATCTGCATGGAGCACATACAAATATTTGGGGTTTTTTGATTGTTGATCTTCTTCTCTAAGCAACACAGTATGACAATGCTAGCATTTGCATGGTATTAGGTTATTTTAAGGCATTAAATACGTGGAAGGAAAACATACAAATATGGCACCATTTTTGAGTTTGGTGTCCTATGGAAACCCAGGCCACTCACTATCTAATGCTACCAGATTTTTTTTTGGTTCTACCAATCGCTAAATAAATCCCTTTAAATGCTTAAAGTAGTTGGAGCTGTGCTTTCAACACCTGTAAACTGAGAAGCCTAACAGTTGAAGGCCAAAGGTCATCTGATGATTTGGCAAAGTCAGCTGCCCCCTTTCACTACAACAGCCCAGCCATGAAACTCCAGTCTCGTGCACTAGATGGCGACTGTGGAGCCTGCCACCCTCAGCCTCTGGCCCCTCAGCCTCTCCTCAGCATCCTTAGTCATGTCCAGTGTTTAGGTACCTGCATTAAAGTCCAGCCTCCAGCTGAACCCAGGAGTGGATACCTGCAGCCACACTGGCCACAAGTGAACTCTGCTGTCAGGCCCAAGTGCTCTTGCAGCCTTGCTCCATGCGGGCTCAGAGGCACGGGATGAGACCTGCCTATCCCTGCCTGAGGCCTATGCAGAATCCCAAGGCTGAACCTCACCATCCCGGTGTTCATGGGGCAGCCAGTGATGCTGGGCATCTCCATGCTCAAAGTACAGGTCCCACTGCCGGCACTGCTCTTCCCGGAAGTCGGCCAGGGTGTCTGGGCAGTCCTGGGGGTTGCAGAGCTGGAAGTCGTAGGCAAGGCCTGAGCAGGTGCGGCCACCATTGGCTGGGCTGGATAAGAAAGCAAACATCCACTGCTTGATGCCGCTCAGCCTGGGGGTGGGGTGTAATACATTCCCCTAACTTTCCTATCTCTTCTCCATGTCCACACCCCGTAAAATACAGAGGAAGCCTGTGTCTGAAGTGGGTTGCAAACCAGCAAGGTTGTGTGTCCTCAGGCCAGGGGGTCAGGAGATCAGTTTTCCAGGACAATGCACTGGAGACAGGGGTTGAGCCCACCCCTGGGTCTCAGCTTCCTCGCAGGTAGGAGGAGGAGAATGGTAGTCTGGAACTAGCATGCGGCAGCCATCAGGGCCCTGCAGAATGGGGCTCAGCTAAAGAGGGGCTTTGGGGACCTTGGCTGCCACTCAGGAGGGTGAGGGATGGAAAGTGGCCAACTCACTGTGGGTTGTCACACTGGCGGGTCCTAAACTTCACACCTGTGCCGCAGGTGCGGGAGCAGGAGCCAAATGGAGTCCAGGCACCCCAGTTGCCATCCCGTTTGAGGATGTCAGGTGTCAGCCAGATGCAGTGTCCCTTAAAGCAATGCTAGAAGGCAAAAAGTCTGTCCTTTGACCCCCACTCACAGCAGGCTCCTGGGATACTACCAATTTCTTCAGCCATCAGTGTCTGGGTGGGGCAGGGGAAGGTACAGGGTTGGGGATGGGGATCAAACCTTCCTTGCCCTTGATAATAGTATTCAGGAAGATCAGGCTCAGCCTGTGAGTGACAGGAAGAGGCACAGGAAGTGCTGGTTCTCTCAACCCTACTATCTGCCTACAGCTCTGTCTACCTGTATTCAGTACCTTGCCCAGCCTAACTCTGCCCCCTCAGCCACAGCCCCACACCGTGACACTAGGATGCCTCTTAGAGTGAGGGCTAAGGTGACAGGTGAAAGAGAATGAATGTGATCCAAGTAGTTTGCTTGCATGTTTGAAAACAGAACAACAAAACCCATTGAAAATGCCCTGCCCCTTGAGCCATGCCCCCCTATCCTGTTCTGCTTTATTTTTTTTTTCCAGGAAGGGTGTCTTGTTTTTACCCAGAGCCTACCTCAGCCTGCATATTGCCTCTTTTGTATCTGGAACCACAGTCATGACTAACATGCCTGGTTAAGATTTACTGGTTGAGATGAGGTATTGCTCACTTTTTGCCCAGTTAGACTTGAACTGTGATCCTCCCAATCTGTTTCTGGAGTAGTTGCATATACAAGCATGATACCATGCCTGGATGAGTACTGGACCAATCTGGTCCATGAAAGTAGGATGCCTTTCAACTTACTTATATCTTTAATTTCTTTCAGTGAAATTTTATGCTACTGAGATATGTTTTGCATTGCTTTTGTTCACTTTACTCATAAGGGTTGTTGTTCTAATTTTTTATGCTATTGTGAGTAAAACTGTTTTCTGCATTTCATTTTTAAATCAGTCATTGCTAGTTTATAGAAATACAATGGGGGGGGTACTACTGGAGCTGGAACTCAGGGCCTGGAGTTTCCTTCGCTTGCTTGCCTCAGCTGGTATTTTATCAGTTGAACTATATCTTCAACCCTGCTTTTTGCTGGTTATTTTGGAGATGGACTGTTATAGACTTTTCTGTCCAAGCTGACTTCACACCATGAAGTACTGAGGGTTACAGGAATGAGCCACAGCAATACCTGGATTATTTATTTTTTCACTTATTTGAGATAGTTTCTTTAAGCCTTGAAGAAGTGATCTTAATTGATGATGGTGAAGATATCATACTTTTACAAAATTTATTGGAAGATCTGACTTGGTGGACACATTACCAGGCTGCCTTCCAGGCCTTTGGAAGGGACCAATGTTTCTCTCTCTTCCCTATTGACTTCTACCACCATATTCTATTCCTACTTACACACAATTTTGGGTAACCATCATTTTTTCTAGAAAGAAAAGAGAACTATATCTACATTCTATCTCTGACTTTACCAAGTCTTTGGTGAATTACTAACAACATCCCACCTCTGACTTCTCACAGCTTGATAAATCTGGGCCAGTGCTCAATCATCTGAGGATACTTCTTAAAAAAAAACCCAACTTCTGGGTCTTCAAACAAAAAGTTATATAGAGAATGTTCATAGCAGCACTATTCACAACTACCAAAAAAGTGGAAAAAAATATATCATCAGAGGATTAGCTGATAAATGAAGCATGGTATAAACATACAATGGAATATTCTTCAGCTATTAAAAAAGGAATGAAGTATTGGTAATTACAACTGGGATGGATCTTGAACATATTAAGGGAAATAAGTCAGACACAAAAGGTCATACATTGTAAAATTGTATGATTCCATGAAATGTAGGAGAGGCAACTCCACAGAAACAGAGAACAGATTAGTAGCTACCAGGGGCTGGGGGAAAAAAAGAAGAAAGACGAAAGATTGATTAATGGGTATAATTTTAGGCTGATAAAATTGTCTGGGAACTAGGGGGTGGTGATAATCTTGTGAATGTATTAAATGCTGCTAAACTATACAATATAAACAGTTAAAATGGTAAACTTTATTTCATGCTTTGTGATAATTTAAAATGGAAACAAAACTGAATGTAAAACAACAGCAACAAAAAAAATCAAAAACAAAACAAGCAAACAAAACCAGTCTCCAGGACGGTCCTGGAAGTCTGTATCTTTAAGGAAAGAATTTATCCCAGGAAAGACAATTAGGCAGCTGGTCTAGTCCAATCTAGGCCCAAAACCTGCACGGATCAAACACAGTGTGAATGACTGGTTGGGGCTGGGGGTGGAGTGGAGTGGGATCATTTAAGCCACTCTCCCCTCCACGGGCCTCCCTGATAGCCAGGATAGTTTCAGCAGGGAAGGGAAAACTCAGGTTTAGATTCATCTTCCTATGGCAGCACCTTAGCAAGTGATTGGCTGAGAAATGTGCATGTGATTTCACCTGAACCAATGAGAATCAGGCCCTTGAGTTCTGGCTGTGTCAACTGGAAAGAAGCAGCCCTTGCTTTTGCAGACTTACTAGGAGGGTGGGCCTCCTAACACAGAAGATGCCCCAGTGTGTTTGCCTCATGGTCAGGCCACTCAGAGTCACCCACAAAGGGCAAAGGATTGGGGACACACTGAGAAGCTCTGAGTTTGCTGGGTTTCTCTGGCATGGGAAGCTGTGTCCCTTGAAACAAGGGGAGTAACTACAAAGGGAGGAAGAGAGGATAACTGCAGTTCCTTGGGAAGGCTCAGGCCCCAATCAACAGGGCCTTCTGTGTGTGTCCTGGTTGCTACCCCTCTGTCCTTGAGAGCCCGGGGCCCAGTCTCACCTTGCCAGGTGCACACATAGTCCCATCCAGGGGGGGGCCCTTCTTGGTTTTGCAAAAGTAGGGGTTGTCAGGGTGGCTGCACCATAGCTGTTTGCAGGGGTCAAAGGTCCGGAACTGGAAAAAAAAATAAGAGCACCCCAAGCTTACCTGGCTACTTCCTGCTGTGAAGGACCATCCAGGGAATCACTCTGCTGACCCCCCCCCAGGTCCTATAACCTGGGGTACCCCAGGAGAACTGGCCTGAGTGGCTGCGGGAGAGGGGGTGTGTGCTGTGAGATCTGCGTGATTCTGGAGGCCCTGAGGGGTGGGCTGCAGTGTTCTAGGAGGGGCTGGGGTTACACAGTGGGACCCTGGGGGGACCTTGCTATCCATCTGCCCTCCACCTTTCCCCTCTAGCCCGTACTTACCGCAGTGCACATCATGTAGCCCAGGCCGAAGTCGAAGCGACACTGCTCGTTCATGGAATAATGCAGGCCGGGGAGTTGGGGCAGCGCTGGCCAGTCGTGGGCGAAGGGGTCATCCCGCAGGCAGTCATAGGAGCTGTGTTGGGGGACACGTGGTGGTGGAGGGGATCACAAGCAGCTTTTGGTGGGGCTGGACATCCAGCCCGGGAGACAACTGAGTCTTTCATGGTGGGTCAGACAGCACTTGGCATTGCTGTCTCAGTTGTCCTGCTTAAGACCTGGCTGTTCAGCTCCTAGGAGCAGCTGCAGGGTCTGTTTGCCCGTCAAGGTGAGCCCGTCCAATGCTGTGATCTCCTCCCTGACATCAAAGTCACCACGAATTGTCCCTTCCCGTCCCTGGCACTTCAAGCTGAAGGCTCTGAGGTCTGAAGGCTCAGGCTGGAGCCAGGCACAACTTGACACTGTGAACTGAGCCCAGGGATTTAGGGGAGGAGGGAGGCCCCCACCCCACCCCCAGGGACCGCATGGAGGCACTCACTGCAGGTAGCGGCCCAGCTCTTGCTGGCTGCAGCGGGACCAGTGGAAGCGGTGGAAGGCGGCCTGCACCAGGGGCGCCATGATGCTGCCCAGCCTCACCTCGTCGCCACAGCGGTTGCCCTGCCCGTCGTGTTCCATGCCCAGCCTGTGCGAGAGAGCAAGCCAGCCTGGATGGACCCTTACCCTGCCATGCTCATCTGCCATCTCCTTCCCACCCATCGCCAGGAGGGTGTCCCTGACACACAAACACATATCCCCCGCCCCACACCTCCTCCACTGGCCTTCTTAACCCCAGCTGGTCTGGGCTGCTTGTCTCCTATGGGAGGAGACACCCAGTGATCAGCATCCTCCCCAGCCCACACAGCACCAACATTCCATCCTGAGGGAGTCCCACAGACACTGGCATAGCCCAAGGTCCTGGGCCTCAGGCAGTGCTGGGGGTATCTAATCAGGGTGTCCGTTGTGGCTTTAACTCTGGCTTTCAATGCCCTTCCCCGCTCCCCAGTGACTTCTGTAACTTGGGGCCTCCGCTCTACCCTCTGGACTGGAATGTGATCATGGTGAAGGACACCCCCCCCCAACACCAGCTCCTCACTAGCCCCGCGTACTGCCTCTGCCCTCAGATGCATCTTTCCTTTGATGTGTCCCTGCCATGGGAAGAAGACCCAGGCTGTATCCTGTGCCAGGTAAAGTCTTCCCATGTGGTGCCTCTGGAACTCAAACAAGAGTGGGCAGCCAGGGAGGGAGGATCCTGGGGTGTCCTCTCCAAGCCCCGATCTTCCCCCCCAGACAAATCGGGAGAGCCACTCACACATGGCCCGTCTCGTGTGCTACCACAAAGGCCGAAGAGAAGCCATCCTCGTGGTTCAAGGTACAGCTGCGGACGGGGTGGCACATCCCGGTGACAGGAGCATAGCCTGGGGGGAGACAAGGTGACTCGGCTCCAGCTCCCAGGCCTAGGGCTGCAAAAGCCCAAACAAGGTGGGCCCGAATGCTGTGTCTCTCCTGAACCCAGCCCTAGAAGCCATTGGGCACAGTCTAGTCACACCTGCTAAGATTGGCTCTGAAGACATGGGTCCCCACTTGGTCCCTGCCCACCAAAACCACCAGCATTAGATACTGCCTGGCTTGGAGGTTGCCATGTTCAGTCTCTGTCTGATCATCTCTGCTCTCCCTCTGTTTGCTGGGGGCGGGAGGGGTGGGATACAATTTCTTAGGGAACCAGCTTAGGTCCTGGGTTTTTCCCAGAGTCAGAGGTCACGAGTACAAACCGAAGCCATCCTTTGGCTATGGTACCCACAGCACACATCCCCTCTCCCCCTCCACTGGCACTTCCTCCTTCCCGTGATCAATGGCTGGTCCCCCGGTTTCTGTCCTCTCCGTGTCCCTGCAAGAGACATGGCTCACCTTGCATGCCCGAAGGCCCGAAGTCCTGCCGGGTGAGGAAGATGGCGTGATCATGGTACTCATCGTGGTCTGTGTCCGGCTTCTGTTGCAGGTAGGCCCAGCGGCAGACGTTCTCCAGGCTCTGAGAGGGGTTCCCGATCTCGATGAGGCTCATGGACTGCAGTGCAGGGGAGAGAAGGAAAGGGGGCTGGGTTGGTATATGGCAGGCTATTTGGAGGTTGAGCACGCTGTCATGTCGAGAGACCCTAGCTCTTGGGAACTTGGTCCAGGTGGCCTTAATCCTGGCCAGTCCCTCTCAGGCATTGATTCCACTGGGCTCCACCCTTTGGGATGGAAGGGATGGTTTCCAGGTGCCCTTACCTGCATGAGCTCCCACAGAGACCCCAGTGTTTGCGAGTACGAGGTAGCAAAGCTCAGGTCACCTAGGGCTTCGTGCGGCCCACTCCCTGCCCCATTGCCCAGAGTTCTCTGTTCTGAGCAAGTTCTCAGCACAAAGAAAAGTCATGGTAGACCTTGCTTCAAAGAGCTATGGTTCTAGATGCTCAGGGGCAGGGGAGCCAGTGTGGCATATAAGTGTATAAGATAAATGGAACAATAATACCTATCATACAGGGTAAAGAAAATAATCAAATATTGTGAAAAAAAGATAAAGGGGGAGGTAGGAGCCCCTATAATGTGGTGTGTAACTCCAGACGGATAATACCCTGATGGTTTCTCCCTGTTTGAAGCTGTTTATGAAACCACAAAATAGAGTGAAAGAAAGTGTAAGTGATAAAGCAGTCAAGGAACAAGTCAGTAAATGGGCCATTCCTACAAAAACTGTGGATGAGAAGAGCATGAAAACCAAGGACATTTCCTTTTATTCTCTGGTGGTGAGAGAGAGAGAAAGAGAGAGAGATAATCCTAGCTACTGGGGAGGTTGAGATCTGAGGATTGTGGTTCAAAAGCAGCCCAGGCAAGGAAACTCCGTGAGATTCTGATCTCCAATGAACCACCTGAAAATTGGAAGTGGTGCTGTGGCTCAAGTGGTAGAGTGCTTATCTTGAGCTGAAGAGCTCAGAGACAGCACCCAGGCTCTGAGTTCAAGACCCACAACCAAGAAAAAGAAAAAAGAGAGAAAGGGGGAGGGGAGAGAGAGAGAGAGAAAGAAAGAGAGAGAGAAAGGTGGATGGAGAGCATGAGAAAGAGAAAAAACAAGATTTGAACATTTGAACTCAGGACCTTGCACTTGCTAAAGCACAGGCCTGTAACACTAGCGCCACAGCCAACACTTTTTTTGCTTTAGTCTCTCTTTCCTTCCTTCCTTCCTTCTTTCTTTTCTTTCTTTCCTTCTTTCGTCGATTGTGGGGCTTGAGCTCTGGGCTTGGGCTCTTCAGCTCAAGGCGAGTGCTCTACCACTTGAGCCACAGTGCTACTTCTGGTTTTCTAGTGGTTTATTGGAGATAAGAGTCTCACAGACTTTACTGTCCAGGCTGGCTTTGAACCGTGATCCTTAGATCTCAGCCTCCTCAGTAGCAAAGATGACAGGCGTGAGCCACCGGCGCCTGGCAGTTTTTTTCTTTTTTCTTTTTTTTTGGGTCTGGTCATGGGGCCTGAACTCTGGGCCTGGGCACTGTCCCTCAGCTCTTCAGCTCAAGGCTAGCGCTCTACCACTTGAGCCACAGAGCCACTTCCGGCTTTTTTCTTTTTGTTTATGTGGTGCTGAGGAATCGAATCCAGGGCCTCATGCATGCAAGGCAAGCGCTCTACCACTGAGCCACCTTCCCAGCCCCCAGTTTTTTTTTCTTTTACATAAAGTCTCCTGTTTTTTTTTTTTGTTTGTTTGTTTTTGTTTTTTCCCTGGGGCCTGTCTTGGACTAGGATCCTTCTACCTAAGCCTCTCATTAATTGGGATTACAGATCTGAACCACCATGATCAGCTGGTTGGTTGAGATGGACTCTTGCCACCTTTATGCCCTAGCTAACCTCCAACCACTGTACAGAGTATCTGTGCTTACTGCCATGAGCTGACAGACCAGGCATTATCTTGCTCTTTATATCATAAACTACACTTGCAAGGCAAGAATGCCCCCAGGACTCACAGTCCTGCACGCTCACAGTGCCCCCTGACACCGGCACAGGCTCTCATGGGCTCTCCACAAGCACCCCATGAAGCAGAGGAGACAGAGGCTCAGAGCAGTTAAGCAGCTCACCCCAGGGCACACAAATAGGAAGGCAGGAAGAGACATGAGCACAGGAAACCTATCATCTTCACCCCTATCCCCTAGATGCTGGGCTGGGCGTTTCCAATGGCCACAGTCAGCTCATGCCTTGGTCACTGGCAGGACTCAGTTTCCCCTCAACTGCTGGATGGAGGGTGCCTTTCCACAAGGCCGTTCACACATGGAAGCTTGCTTCTGCCTCCAGAATGACCGACTCAAGCAACGTCAAAAGGGCTCACGTGTAAGACAGAGCCACAATCAATTCAGAAGCCAAGTTCAGTTCAGGCTGCGTTCAGGTGGGGCATGAACAGCAGAACAGCAGGACACATGATCACTGGCAGGGCACTGAATGAAGCATGAGGCAGTGCGGATTGTGGTAAACTGAGGCACTCTGGATAGCCGAAGGGGCCATGTCCACGGAGGCCAACCTGTTACACAGCTGTCATGCAAGACTGGAGGCCACGGGCGGGTGGCCAGCTCAGTTCAGTGGCTAGAAGGAAAACCCACCTCCTATACCACGACAAAGCCCTCCGACAGACAGCCCCTCCTCCACACCCACCTTGCCCACTAGGTAGGACAGTGTCCGAATCTCAGACGCTGGGCATCTACGGTCCACCCCCCCCCAGCTTCTCAGCCCCTCCTGGCAACTGTGTGGCGATTCTGCTGCGGCGGCAGGATAATTTATCGTCATATCGATTTGTGTTTTTGCTCTTGCCTTGTTTCGTGCTGTGCTCATTACAAGAAGGCAGACTGCCATTCTTCCCCGACCCCAAGGAGTTCCTTGCTGCAGGAGTCTAGAGACTGCTTGGTGCCTTGGGGAATCCCGAAGATTCCTGCCCCCGCCATCCAACCCCCAAACAGGACTAGAGAGGCTGCTACGGGAGACCCGGGGAGCGGGATTGCAGAATGCATGAGAGCGTGTGCGTACTGAGGCTCAGTTGCACCCGTGGAACACCCCCAAAACAGCTGAAATGTAATTATAACTAACCACCCAGTTTCTGACCTCCTGCACCAGGGCCCCCTCCTTCAGCCTGCTCTCCCTACTTCAGGAAAGCCGCCAGTGGTGCCCTGGCCTCCGTCCCACCCCGCCAGACAACACTGGGAGCAGCTGGGCAGTTTCTGAGTCGGAGGAGGGAGATCGGGGCTTGGGCCGTGGGCAGGGTAAAGTATTCATTGCTCGAGGCAGCTTGGGCCCCAGGCCCAGCGACAGGGTGCCCACAGAGACAGCACAAGTCCTGGCATCTCGCCAGGGCCTGTGGGAGCCTCTTGCTGCTGTCCAGAGTATGGGAAACAGAGCCCCGGCTCCCTTGTACCTTCCCACATGAGTCACCCACTAGGATCTGACCTCCGCCCACTCTTCCGCTCAATCTCCTCTCAGGCTTTCCCTCTGGCTCACCCTAGACCCGGCTATTCGGTGCCTTTTCTGAGCTGCATCTACAGTGGACTCCCCCCCCCCCAGGGGATGCCTGCAACCATAGATGAAATTGAGTTCCCAGCCACACAAACTTTCACCATTTCACTTCAGCGTATCTGCGTTAGCAGCACTGATACCCCTCTGGGTCTGATGCCACGATTCAATAAGATGAAGGAGAACGGAATACCAGCCTTGGAGGCTCAAGGCAAGCACAAAGTTAACCTAATGGGTGGGTGGTGCATACCGTATGGATACACTGCACAAAGCAGAAGATCGGATTCCCAAGTGAGAGGGTGTGGGTCGGGTGTGAGAGTTCATCGTGCTACCCGAGCAACATGGAACCTAAAACCTACCAACTGCTTGTTTCTGGAATCTTCCATTTACCATTTCCAGACCACAGCTGCCTGTGGGCAATTGGATAAAGGGGGATTACGGAGTTGCTTCTCTCTCACCTTGGGCTTCGGCCTCTTCTCCATCCCTGAACGCATCTGACTCCTGCCCTGACCATTCTGCACTGGATTCTCTAGAACAGTCTTTTCCCCCTTGGAATTGTGTGTGTGTGGGGGAATACCTGAAATGAATCTCTTGGGCCACCAAATTCCTAAGGAATAACACCCCAGGATCTGTGAGGGGCTGACTCCACAGACCAGCAGTCCTTGGGGGGTGGGGGGCGGGCGGGGGAGGATCCGGATTATTCCTGAGCATATGTCCATCTCCTGGGGCTGGGTGGTGGCCACAGGGACCATCTCCCAAGGGAATGAGGGCCCTTGAGTCCTGGGACCAAACTCTTTCACATTATGAACAGCTTCCCTCACCAACCGGAGGCCTGAGCTGAGTGGCCACAGACCCATCCCCCCTCTCCCCCCACCAGAGTGGGGTCTGCCAACACCCCTAGCTGGGTATAGTGACTAACAGGTGCTGTTTCCTTTTTACACCTGGCCATACAAAACACCTGACCTCTGACTTTGCTGAATTGTAAACACCTTAAAGCTCACGGACCCCAGTCTCTGTCCCAGGCGTGGCCCACTTCAATGTGCCACAGAGCCAGTTCGCTCTGTCACTCAACAACTATTTACTGAGCAAGCAAGCCTGGCCTCTGCTCTGGACACAGCACTGAAAGCGACCAGCCGTGGGATGGGTCTGTTTGCTCGACATGTATTTTTATAGGAGGAGAGGGAAGAAGGGGTGGAGAGAGGGAAGGAGGCAGGAAGATGTGCTCGCTGGACAGCGAAGGCTGGGGTGGGAAGAGAAGGGTGTATACCTCATCGGCAGGACTAGAGAAACTTCCAGAGAAGGGGACTGGCTCAACAGGCAAGATCTGATGATCTCAATAACAAGGGCTACAATCAGCTCAGGACACTCACTAGAAGCCATGCTTGGGAGTACAGGGAGATCCCACCTCAAATAAATGTTATAGCTTTCTATGGTACAGTCACCATCCTCTCCCTACTTTCCTACTTTCCCACGGCGGGAAAGAGGTGGAGGTGGCGGCAGAAGTCACTCCTTCCTCTGTGGGACAGAGGCAAAGGAAGAGCAGGGCTC